ACGTGTGTTTCAAAGAGAAAAGACAACATTTGACAACTGTAATGAGAAGAGAATATTTTGATTTTTTGCTTGTTTGTTTAGTTAGTTAGTTAATACTCAAAACTACTCAATTACGTTAAAAAATCTATTGTATTTTATTATATAATATAATGAAAGTCTTCTGTATACTATCTGCGGGTAACATAATGTTTAAAAGTTCCAAAATTTAATAATATATGAACTAAAAAAAAAAAAAAAATTCGTCCATACAAGACTGTCATAAGTAAATTTTATGAAATGTTAAGAATGTTTGTTAATAAAATTAAGCGCAATAGAAAAATATATGCCAAAAATGCCCACAGCTTTTCTTCTAGGTTTTTGAGTTATGAACGATGAGTGATGATCTAAAGACTTTAAGACTCTTAGTTCAGTATTTTTAGACGAGAGATTCTGGTTTTAAAATTAACCTCATAACAATATAACAATACATATTATGATGTGGTCAGCGCGTATTTGCCTTGTCATGAAATGGTATTCAGTTATTTTGTTCACTTGGTTTTCTTTGAGGTTTATGTAAAATTTATATTGCAATATAATTAATTAGTCATGAGTAATTACTAATAGCGTCGATGCGATTATCATCGGTCAGCAGAACTTTGCACGTGTGAGTCAATAATTCTATGAAATTCATATAGGTATTACTATTATTAATTCTCGCTTTACCTGTTTTCGTGTATTTACTTTCAATTGATATCGTGTATTTATGAGGAGTAAACTTTTCTCACAAAAAAAAAGAAAATCTACAAAAAATAAAAAATACGTAAAAAAAATATAACAGAATTAGGGAAATAAACTATGTTATAAATAGCAATTTATCTTATAACACTTAATCGATTTCTTCATAAAATCATAAGAATATTTATGCATTGAGAGGGGATTTTCTTAATACCTACCTACCTTTCTTAAAGTATAATAAATTGTACAAGTATTTATTTATTTATTAAGGAAACTAAACAGATACATCACTTTACAGTCAAAATAAAATAAAAGTAAAACAAATACATTGAACATATCCACATAAAAGTTTCACTGATAAAAAATACAATACAAAGTAAAACAAGACAAAACATGACAGCACAAAATTTATAAATTAGGAGAACGACAAAAAATCTAGCAGCTATAAAAAAAAACAAGGAAGATACAGGCTTAAGACATTAAGAGTTTTAACTTATTCTTAAATGAAGCAGTAGAGGAGTGCGATCTATGATAAGTATGTGTCATCTTGGTGATAATATTTATATTGAGAAAATAAGTTTGTCATAATACAATAGTTCTTATAGTCATAACCATGTTTGCTGTGCTATATTTAAAAAAAAGGTTTATGGATATGTAATCTCAAAAACATTACAATAATATGAGACAACATTTAAAGTTTAAACTTTAAAAAGTACTTAGGCCTGTCTGTAGTGCCTGCGCTTGCGCGCACTCTCAAATTGTGCTCCATCTTAAGTAACCACCCGATTGCCATAGTTCTTTAGAATAAGCTAAGCGTGGGTAATACAATACATAAAGCATGATTTTGATCAATTAGTTTTGTAACGTTATTTTTCCGTGGGTCTTGTTTTTTGGGCAGTACCTGATATTTTGATCAGGTAATTTATGTGAGGTTTAATTAATACGTTATATATTGTATATCGCGTTTTATATGAAATACATACTTCGAAGATAGCCTAGAAGAAATGTTCGATTTGGAAACGCCAGGTTAAAATAGCTAACTAATCTTAGGCCTAGATATTTTTCCATGGTATTTTTGTTGTATAGCTTCACGATTAAAAGTAAGTGTATGATGAGATGGATTTTTTAATATTTATTGCCTTAAATATTATATAGCTTCTTTTTGAAATACTGTGAGGTGGTTATACGTAAACCGCGAGTGAAGAACGTTCATATTGGCTTGAGCTTTAAGATTAAGACTGAAAAGATAAAAAAATATATTATTAGAATTTTTATTTCGATAAGTAACTACAGGAAGTGCGGCCGCCTTTGTTTATAATTAGCATACAACTGCAATTCTTGTTAATGCTAACAATACCTGTCTCATATTGCGAAATTGCAATAGTTCTTGTACCGACGGCTAACATAATTAAATGTTTTAGACGGTGTACGGTAGTCAGTACGTGACTTAATTGGGTATTCGTCGTGACTACTTGTTCCCGCTGCTAAACAGTTACAATCAAGCCTATAGGTACAGGCTTTCACATTTGTATACTTATCTCCCTTCTTTTGGGTTCGTTTTTAACTAAACCCGATTTGCGTATAAATTTTGGGTTACCATAAACATCAAAGAATGATTGATATAACTAACTGTTTCGCATTAGAAAATATTTGTACCAAGTAATACTCTCTACGACCTTCAAAGACACAGCTATAATTCACATGAATTAAAAGACATTATGAAACGATTTGGCATTATGACGATGTTGGCAAGCCTTTTTAAATTTCGTTTCCTCAAACATAAGAAGCTTACGGTTACCAAATTCCACAGTGTCTTATGACGCAAGTATTTATATTGATTTGTTTTATGCCGCGAGGTTTGGTTTGGCTTTGCTTTTTGTTAATTGTGACCGGTTTTGGGACATAGCATTTTAAATTGTGATTGACCTGAATTGACCCTATAAAATTTATGTGTAGTGTGTAGTGATGAGTTAACATTTGGTGTTGTAAAATTGGAATGAAAAAAAAAAATTCTAATATAAATCAAATAAATTTGAGTTTGAGTTATAATGTCCCTCTCCATTTCAGTTGCGTGGAATCTGAAAAACGTATTTTAAAACATCTAATCGCACAAATGACAGGAAGCGTGTTTTTATACAAAATATAACAAAAAATTGCCAAACTAAATATGCTGAGGCATACAAAAACAATAATTTGTTATTATTGTTTGAACAGTAATATAACAAAGGAATATTATAACTAGTATGTATTTAAAATTTACTTAATGCACAGTAATAAGACTTTGTTAATAAGGTATTATAATAAATGCTGAAGATGCATACCGTTTAATATTGAATTAGTTCTTTTAAAATATATTACGTATTGTAGAGCATGAGCTCATTATCAGATTAAGACCTACGAGAATAAAAGTGCGTGCTCCTATTTCACCATGCCTCCTGCTGATAGAGGACAAATCTTTGTTTTTAATTTATTTTATTTTGATTAATTAACTTTTATTTACTTAAGATGTCATGTGGAACATGGTGTAATGGTTGCAGCTTCTTACAAACATTGTGTAAAACAAAAAACTTGGCGATTAAAAAGAGTGGCGGAGAGTTTATTGCCAGTTCTCTTCCGTTATACGCCCTTGATTTGAGAAATTGCAGTAAATTTGAAATTAGAAGCATTTAATATATATTTAGTTATTGACGTTCATAAGTGTATATTGTGTTACCTATATGAATAAATGATTTTGATTTTAATTGATTTGAGACCTAAGACCTACCAGACGTTACCATATTAAATATAGTTTTACAAAGTACTAAATGCTAAGCGAAATATATCAAAGTACTCTTATCTATACGTATTTAGGGTAACCCGAGCATTTGCCCTCAATTTGTAGTCGCACATTTTGAATATAATTTGTCTCGTCTACAAAAAATACTGACATGAATTATTAGCACTTGATGTAATAAAGATTTTATTATCTGTCTGTACATATCACAAATATATTAAGAATTTGATTATGACATATCAGACTTTATTCTTTGTGTCCTCCACAATAAAGAAGATGCAACGTAAAGTTACGGAACCGGGTCTTTGACCTCACTCGTTAACAACCAGATGAGCACCCAGCCTCCTTCATATATTTCTACTTACTTGAAGTGAGTATTGTGTCCGTTGTTTGACTAATACAGCGATACAATGACTAATTTACAAGCTTATTTAATACTACGTAAGAAATTTTATTGTTCTTGTAAATAGGTATAACATTGTACAAGTTGTACAATTGTAAAGATAGGCTAATTACGATAATCGTATAATGAATAATTAATTACCTACGGCAACCGCCGTCGCTCGGCTGTATTATAACCATATTATTTTCTTTAAATTGTTTTAGTTGGAACTGAAAACTGCAAATTTCATGTAGTTTACGAAAAATTCTTTTAAATTACTATAGTCATGGCTGCTTTAGTGGCGCCTTCTTAGCTTGTCATACGTTTAGTAGGTGTTTTAAGGTTTTTTTTGATTAAAGAATCTATTTTCATTAAATTAGACAAAATTAGGGAGGTTGAAGACGGAGATGATATCGTTAAAAACTGATTTATTATGATATAAAAAGAGTATTCTGTAACATTGCATTGTATATAACTTTGTATTCTGCTTATTATAAACGTTGTTTCTGTAGATACATATTTTCTTGTAAAGATATTTTGAAATATTACTGTATGGTAATGAATCCATCCTTAGTTATTACATCTGACAGACATCCTTTGATGAAAACAAGGCTTACTTAAGAACTAACGATTACCTAAATACGACGACTATTTCTTGGGTCTTGATAGCATTGCTGAGCACAATGAGCGTCTGTGTGCCGCCGATATCGCCATGACCCACGTCGTAACTGCGGTCAGCGTGTTTGGTGAATGACGGGCATTGAAGCGGAAAGTCTCTGCGCTGAGTCAGGGACGCGCGCGCTGCTTCACGCGCGATTACTCGTACAGTCAGATAATATAAAGGATGCTATTGTTCCAGTGGTTCACTTTTTATAAGTAAATAAAAAAGTCCAATCCAGAAATTGATTGTATTTGTACTTCTTTTTGATAACAATCGACTTGACTTTGACAGAGTGTGGCTACAGTGATCCTTTATGGCGCTCGGTCTTTTTAGCTGTTTTATCTCTAGTCTCTGGATCTTTTAGCCTCATCTTAACTGTTATATATATCATAGAGCATGACATTGAGTGGTACTCTAAATAATTCGGTGTATGTAGCCCAAATGTTAACTGATTTAGGATTTTTTGGCAGATGTACAGCGGCGCACTGCTGTCGACGGCGGCGCGGCTGGCGTGGGACCCGAGCACTTACACATGGTTTCGATTCCTGTGCGCTGCACAATATCGTGTTTCGCTGGCATACGTTCTGGCTGCTGGGTTGTGGCTAGCAGCCCTGGTATACCTGGCAGTTGCGGCCGGTGCCGCGGCTGCAGCTGCACGCCGCCCCGCCGCCGCGTTGCACGCTTATGTGGCGGGTGTATGCGCCTTGGTGCTAAGTGAAGTGGCCTATGGTGCGTGGCTGGTCGCCTCTTTAGCTGCTTGGTGGCGTGCCGCGCCTGAAGCCGAACTGGCGCGCAAAGGCATCGACTTACTACACGATATTAAGCCGGCGCTGCTTGCCGTCGAGCGCTACCGCGATTACGCACAGCCTGTTTACAACATGATCGAGGTGAATCACTTTATTCTCTTATATCTCAAATTGTATATTATGTTAGGTATATCAATTTTCAACGCAGTTTTATGAAACGTGCCTAAATATCAAGGTGTGGTATTGCAGGAGGTGGAAGCACGCGCCCCGAACAACGCCGTGATAGTGATCGTTTTCGCGGCGCTGGCAGTGGTGCTGCAAGTGGCGGCGGTGGTGGTGGCGCGGCGACTGGCACGCGGAGGAGTCACGGCAGGTCGGCGGTGCGAGCCCAGCGAAGTTGGCGAGGTGGACAGTGACAGCGAAGCCCTGGAAAAAAGCGCGCCATCTGCACCGCCCGCCTCCTCGCCGCCACCGCCAGGATGGCACAAATCCGCTAACTTGCGGATGTACACGATATTAGACAAGATTTTCTAGCAGGTTTTTACATTTATTTATTGAACCAATAAGCAGATGTGGTCGCCGCTTCTGGGGTACCTAATAAATCTTCTGAAAGTATTTGTATTAGATTTTTGAGTAGTTCTTTTGTAGTCTAAACATTGCTTCATTAATTATCTCTTTTTAGTACAAATGGAATGTCGGTTACATGATTTGTTACTGATTTTCAGGAGGAGGGTGAGTCTCGCAAGAGCGTGACTCGTCCTCAGAGAGAGCCTTGCGAGTCGGAGCATGGCGGGTCTGCGAGGGCAGCGGCAGTGCGCGACGCACGGTGGGACGCGGTACACGCGCAGCTGGCTGCCGCCGGCGGACGTCCTGTGCGAGCTCCCACCGCACTCCTCATCCTTCACACAGACCTCTAGCCGTCCTCTGGTAAACCTACTGTGTGAGCGGTAATCGCTCCTTATATACGATGAACGAATTCTTGCCCTATTGTCTTCTCCTATAATTGTTTAAGGTGTTATTTCCGTCTTTAATACTACATAATATTATTAAATCACACGTACGCCCTTAATTATGGCACAATACAAGAATTTAATACTTCAATAATTAATAGTGAGAACTAGGAAAGAAGGCATTAGCATTAGATAATGCTAATTCTAAATACTTACTTCGATGTTGAATAACGAATTTTTGAAAATATTTAATTACATATTAGTTAAACAAACGTGTTTTGTTGTAACGATTTCATGAATAAACACAAATATGTATGTAGGTGTATATATCAAAAATTGGTTATAATTGATTTGTTAATCGATATACGAAGCGGCAGATTTTATGTAATTTTTCATAGAGACCAGGTAGCCCAGGCATCCGTAGCATAACGTGCTACTTTGATCTACAGTTTTTTCAACGAAAATCAATAACGCACACTGCCTCCACTAACGAATTAAACGTATTCTTACCTATTGTAATATGTGTTTACATTGTATTAAAATTGTTTTGCAATCATAGCAATACAGCTCAACGATTTTCGGCCAAGTTCCTCAAACATAGTTCCTTCCCTCATACCGTTTGTTTTGTAAATTACAGACGGAATGTCGTGGAAGTAACTACATTTGCCGTGTTTTATTCTCTCATATTTCGTAATAAATAAATTGAATGTATGCTACGAATATACGTTGAAATACGCATGTGTTGCATGAATTGGAACGAACTTAAGCTGTTAAACAGACTGCCATATTATTTATAATATTAAAAGTATTGTTTAAGTAGTAAATAAAGGCGTGAATCGCCAGTGATAACGTATATCTAGCGTAAAGTTGACTCATATCACCTTTGTATTGCATGTGTTTGTGATTACTAGCTGGTAAGTGTTCTGTTACAACGAGTGGTGCTAAATCACTGCATTTTGTACGTAGTATGTTGATACGTAATATTTTATCGTCATTCGATATCGATCGGTTTTATAGTAACGTATAGTTAATGTTCTAAAGCACAACGGGAGGTGCAGATTCGCCATGTTCCTTCGTCACCAATGGTTACACGCCGGTGATAGACGAAGTCGGAGCGTTCCGGTGCCAAATAGCTTTAAGTTTAGCGAATAGTAAGTAATTTGTTACTACTGGGCCTTGTGTTTGCCAACAGCAGCATGACTGCACAAATTGGCCCGACTACTTTAACAAATTATGCATTATAAGAAAACTGGTTCATACTAGACAATAAGTAGCGTCATATGTCTTCGAGCTATTAAAATACTTTAACTCAATAAATAAATATTTTTATACCGTTTATTGATTTTAATTTTTGACAATCATAAAATTACAGCTTAACTGTTACTAGTATAACTTAAAATTACTTCATCTTTTATCACTTTATACTTGAACACATAGCAGTTTTATTACACGAATATTCATGTCTAAGAAGTGAATGTCCTCGTGCAAATAGGCAGTGAAGTGTGGCTGGAGCAAGGGGTCTCAGGTGCAAGCAAGTGGCGCGTCCTCGTTGCGGTCATCCTGCAGCAGCCACAGTCTTCCGCCACGGTACACCGCTCGAGACTTTCCTTTGCGACTGCTACCCTCAATGTCAAATATAAATTTAAATTTGATAATTCTGATGCTCAAATGTATGAATGGGTTCAAATTCATTGAACATTGAGCCCATTCTAAGTTTATTGGAACTTGGTATAAACAATGCCTGCCTTTGTCAGGAATAAATGTAGTCGTTTTAAAAAAGACAGCCATAGATAACAAAAGGTTTTTTCGAAACTTTCACAATCATAGAGCAAAATACTTATCATATCTTAACCGAAGTCCGAAATTGAAACATAAACATTGACAAATAAAGCCTTAAGGTGTTGCAAACTACATAATGTCAGAGCATTTTGGAATAAATATATAAAATGGTCCTATTTGTAGTCATGCTCGGATTTATATTATATGTTAATATTTTTTATAAAACATGTCTAGATTGTCTATTTATGTTAAAAATAAAATGAATTCATACATTACAATAGATTAACATTAGAGATAATGAGGAGATAGAGTGAACGTTACCTGAGTGGTGTGGAGAGTGTTAGTATTGAAGGAGCGCGGCGTGGTGGGCCAATAGCTGAGATCAGCGCTAACAGTGCTGCTAGCAATTGCAACGTCAAAAGCATTACGGCAGCAGCGCTCAGCGCTCGAAGCTGACGCGGCAGATCATCGCGTGCTTCGCGCATCAGTGCGGCCACACGCGCAATCTGGGGTAGTGATGGCCACTGTGCTAACTCTTCCAATAATGGTTGTAAGTGTTCACCTAATGCCGCCGCGCGTCGGACCTCCCGCGCTTGCTCACCCTGCGTCCACTCGGTGGTGCGTGCCCATACCCAGCCTCCACAAGCTGTTTGTGCGATACTGCATGCCACGAGGATTCCAGCGTACTGTACACAGAACTCTTACTATCTTACTGACATCTAGAGGTATTCTTCGAATAGTTAAGAACTTTTACACATATTATTTAATCACGTATGTCTATATTTTATTATATATCCAGTATTATTAAACAAAACTAATGCATTCATCGATCATTACATCGACATAACTTGAACGTTAGCGTTGAAGTGACTATTATTGGATAAATATGAATATTATAACGAGTGTTCCATTTTTTAAAAAAGATCTGCTATGTTATTCTTATCAGATATTGTAATAATAATTTCAATCTTTGTTGTTGTCTTTTTGTTGAACAACAAATAACTACTATGTATATAAGTAGCTTATATTAGTAGCTACGTATACTTATTAGACGACAAGACTATAGCCTATACCATATAAAGAAGCACGCGACGCAGAGAGCGGCGATGAGATTGTAGCGCAAGAAGTGCAGCGTGACCGGCGATCAGCGTGACAAGGGCCAGCGTAGGCAGCAGCACGGCGGTAACACGAAACTCGAGCGGAAAAAGTTCGCGTGCTGGCACATAAAGTGTAGGATCCCAGCATGCACGCAGCCCCGTCAGCAAAACTCCGCCAACCAGCACCTCAAAACGCAAACTACTGTTACTTATTACTGACTTCACTATATGTACACAACGCAACTATTATGTCAGCTCACCATCAGTAACAAATTGACGTGTAGCAGCAACGCAGGCGCGAGATTGGCACAGCACGCCATCGTCTGGACGGACGGTGTCCGCAGTGGCAGGTGTGACTCATGACTGTTCACACTTCACATCTCGTATCTTATCATTAATCGCAAATTATCAGTGCTTTGCCCCGCATTCCTTCCCCCGGAGCGCGTCACTTTTCACATGACACTATTAACTACTCGATACGATTGAATAGATGGTAATAAAAACAAATAAAACACGATGTCAATTTAATCACCTAAATGTTGGCTTATCTCGTCGTAATATCTTGTATGATTAAAAATAAAATCAATCACTCAATTGTTCAACATTTATTTATTAAGATTGAGAGTTATGAAGGTCCGGTGACCGGTGCAAAAATATATAACTGTGCCGCGAGCAGTACACAACGATAAACATCTACGACACGTTTAACAAAATTACTTTTTATTATTCCTATTATAGTAATACTATCGCGAAGCACCGCGATCGACGGCTCCCAACTTTACATCACTGTATGATATGACATCGTAGATACTATTATATATTACACTATACCACAAAGGCCTACAAAATCAGTTTCTCTAATATCTCTTGATATTTAACATCAGAAGGCGCCATAAGATATGCCGGCAGTACCCAATCTGTTATAAGGTTCGATGTAGGGAATCAAATAAACAGGTCCATCTCGTATGATGTCTCGCTGATGTATTGAATCAATTATGGATGACATCATTATTTTAGAATGTGCGTTAAGACGCTAGCGATTCGGCATTGGGTACATTTACACCCAGTCTTAAAATACTGCCGTACGTTTGCCGTGGACTTTGTCATGGACAACATTTTAATGAGCTGGTCTGGGCGGCTGTAGCTGGCGAGCTTTATATATAAGTATTTTAAAATAGCACATTTAATGGTAACATTAAAATATATACATATGTAAAGCAACACTTAAGTATCCTATCAGATAATAGTAATAGAATTCTATCTTAATAATATTATACATTTAGTTACATTTTTTCTACGTTCATAATTATAACATTTTATAAATAATTTTTAAACATCTTCAATAAATTAGTTTGAGGTTACATAACTATCTATTTAATTAACTAAAAAGTAAAGTAGGTTTTCTTTATACTTTTTATAGTAAACCGCCCTTGAGGTAATATTAAATATTGGAATTAATTAAAATAGGTACTAACCAAATCTGATTTAATATAAAAAATATAATATAACATTATTACAAAACATCATATTATCTGGATTTTAAACAATAATTAAAACGGGATGTGCTGTAGCCGGGAATGCAATCTCGATTCGAGATCGTTAATTCGAGATCTCGTCGGATTAAGAATTACAATCTCGCGAGACTCGGTATTTTCGAGATATCAGAATCCTAGATATTTAGGAGTGATTTTGGAAATAACTTCTTAAGAAGCTAGCGAGTATCGAGAGTGCTGTCTGTAACCGAAGTGTAAAATGATACCCCTTGCTCCCCCATACTCATATAAATTCATCTTTTTTTTATGACTAACTCTAATCTATCTTATCTCGCAGAAACACGTGAAGGATTTTCAGCTGCTCTCAGAGACTCTTCTTGTTCCTCTCGCAGTTGTTATAGCAGCGACACATAAAATCCTCTGCAGTAATTTATAAAAGCAATTAATCGTAGTTTTCTGTTGCGGTGTTGATATCATTAACAACAGTAGGTGCGTTTAAAAGGGTATCTGATGAAAAAATTGTTTGATTATATTTTGATTTTTTTTCCGTATGATAGATATATTTCCTAGGCAAATGGAAAATTTCTTTGCACTTAACTTTGAACTTCTTTGAACTGTTCCAAGTAATCTCATGATAATTTCATGAATTTTCAAATATAACAACGCTGCGGTTACTTATATTCGACGCTGAGAGATATGCTTGTTCGTCGAAGAAATTAACTTTTCTGATACTACAGCAACTTAATCTCGTTAATCCTACGAGATCTCGTCATGTTAAGTGTCGGTATTGATCTCGAATCGATCTCGCGGGATCGGAATTGCATACACTAGCTATAGTAAACATTGCCAACATTTGGAATAGAGCACAATAATAAAATAACTAAGCTACAAAACATGTACGTTTTAGAACTCTCGTGTCTGGCAGTGTCGTTTATCGGTAAGAGCCAGGCTGTTCACTGAGGAAGGGGTTGGCGGGCGACGGTGCAGGAGGACCACCTCCCGGCACACTTAGGCTCTCCCCGCCACTGTAGTTCTGCAACGAAAACACGGATAAATAACATACCTATAATGTAGTTAATAATTATACGGATATACTGTATTACACTCTACCTGCGTGGCACCATAGTTGTCATGGTGTGCGAGATCAGAGAGGCGCGTGGACGACAGTGCACGTGGCAGTGGAGCTGAGGGCACCCCGTGTGGTGCTAACACGCCTGCTTCCGCAAAAGCGCGCGCCTCTTCCTCGCTGTCGACGCCGGCACCACCGGCTCCAGTCGCAACGTCACCCGCATCACGGAAGTTAACGAAAGCAAACGCCGCCAGTGCTACTGCACACAGCAATCCGTAGCCGGCAAAGGTACGCGTAGTACCCCACTTAGCAACGGCGATGCCGCCGATTACAGCGCCACAACCCCGCCCCAGCCCGTGGTGCAGCCCTTGAAGTACACCCTGCGCGGACGAGCGCAGACCAGGAGGAGAGCCGTGTGCAATGTACGAACAACAAGCAGCCCACACGGCCGCATGCGTGACCCCCTGTACAAACTCAAACGGTAGCACCCACCAGGGGTCTGACAGCCAGGAAATGTACAAGAACCGCACAACATTGCCGGCTAGCCCCAGACACAGCACCTGTGAAATATTCCGTGTCACTACTACATTCAAGAGCTTCCGTAGACCATCGTACTTCCGTAGATAGTCTTAGAACGTTTACCTTTACGTGGCCCATTTGTGTGATGAGCTTAAAGCTGAAGAAATAGGCAAATATTTCCGAAATGTGATTGATGACTGATGCCACCCCGAACAGAGTAGGTGAGCCTCCGATATCCTAAAACGTACATTAGAACGACGTTTATTACCGGATTTTTACCAAGTATGTTTTAATTTTTATTCAAAATATGTCAGTAGGTATATATGATTATTGAGAGCAAGGTATGTCAACCTGTAATTTCGTCTACGAATTTGACTGAAATAGTCACTTTAACTACTAAAAGTAAGGGGTAAATTTGTTGGCTGACCTTTGTATTAATTTTATAAATTATTACTCGTTCTTAGATTGATAGATAATAATTTCTCTAACAACGCCTTACCTGAAGATGCCAAAAGAGGAACGTAAAAATTAGGCCAATGCCGAAGCCCATAAACCAGGCAACGAGTAAAAAGGAGGCTGCTTTGACGTTTTGGAATTGGCGCAGCACGGTGACCCACTCTGGCATCTCGCGGGTTGTCTGCGCAAACACTTTGGCGTGGTGTAGTGGTTGTGGCGGGGGCTGTGGGTCAGGTGCACTCGTATCCAGACCCGGTAGTTGCAGCTGTGCCGCGAGTTGCGCTTGCATTTGTGCCTCACGAGATAGCTCGCTAGTTACTATTACCGGCGGTTCAACTTCGTTTTCGAAGCTCGATGGTTCATATTTGAATCGGATCTGGGTGGCGGTTACGAGTGCGGCACCCATGAGTACAGAGAAGGTTGCAAAGCAGATGGTATAATTCTTCTCGTAACGCTGCGGGCCACCGCACGGGTGTGTGCTGAAGGCGGTGCTGTGGTCCAGCGCGATGCCGACGAAGAACATAGCGAGACCCCAACCCAATGACCCGAACATGCGCTGGTGCCCATACCTATCATGAACAATATAATTAAAGACATCGCCAGACAAAACGTAACTAAAGACAATAGATCACGTCTTACGCAAGTTCCTAAAAGCTACTACTCTTTGATTTTATTCTATATATATATATATTTATGAAATATTTCTTAATAAATGTTTAACTTTTCCAAATACAGCAAAATATTATAAAAATCATTACTTGTTTATAAGTTAGTGATAAAAAATGTAAAGACCTGTCGGCGTCTTCGCCCAGCAAGGTAATAACCGCTGAGTCGGCGAGTGTGATGGCTGGAGCACTAAAGAACTCTCCAATGACCACGAGAAGCAGGAGCAGGAAGAAGGTCTTCTGAATATTAGGCGTCGTATAAACGATAAAGGAGTGCAGTGGTGTCACCCAGTCTGAATTGGCGGAGGTGTCATAGTTTTCTGCGTCGGAGACGGGCAACGGTGAGCCCGAGCTCGACCCAACAGGTGTACGGAAAGATTGAGGAACCGGCGGAGCGTCCGCGTCGTACCGTGGGGGTGCCAGTACGTAAGCCGAGTTGTTGACCGGTTGAACGCATGCCACTGCGCCTGGCTGTACCCAACTCAGTGGCAATGTGAATATAATCCACGCGCCAAGCGAGGCCAATAGAAGTGTGCGTCCCTTCTGCCAACGGTCTGCGAGTCCCCCCCAGAACGGTGCTGAGAGAAATTCAACAAATGGCCTCGTGCCGATCAGCAGCCCGCATTGCCCGGCATTCATACCCATCTGCTTGAAGTAAACACCCATCAAAGGAAAAAGGGAGCCGAAGGCAGAGTAGAAGAAGAAGTAGAAAGTCTTGACAGTGAGCAGTTCGGGGTCAACAGTGCCGGCGCCACACATCAGCTCTAGTAGGTCGTTACGGCCGCGCACTTTGTGCGTGGCGTCTTTTGGCGCCGGGTACCTGCAATAGATTATTTTAGAGTTCTTATAACTTCTTTAGTGTATACAACAGTTTAATTTAGCCATTGCATTGTAACAAGACTTCGTAGATATGTTTCTTATTGATGTAACAAGCCGCAAACAGTTTGGAGACTCATATGATGTTAAGTGATACCGCTGCCCATAGACACCCACATTGCCAGAGAGCTAGTGCGTTGTCGCCCTGTTCAGAAATTCCCATTATAATTTCTTTAATTGACTTCAAAAAAGGAAGCTTTTAGTTTGACCTGTATGTAGGCACGAATATGTGATAGAATAGTTAAAATACGGTAATATTTCCAAGCAAGTGTGCTAAATTTCGTAAGTTTATGTATATTCAATTGGCCAATCATTTTTTGGAAACTTAGTCAAGATGATCCTTCATTTAGATGAGTTTATTTCAGCCATCCAAGATTAATTAATATAGGATCAATAGTGGTTAAGATGCGCATTCCTGGAGGAGATTGTGTAGTTTAAGTGTATAATGTTGGCATAATTCATGTCGGTTATTTTCGTAAATTATTGCTTTTATGAAACCTTCTTGGAAAATACCTACCCACTACATTTTTAATTAGAAAATTTAAGTTTGTTAAAAATTATAGTTTATTTTACAGTAGTCAATATTTTTTATAACCTCTAAACTATTTCAAAACTTATCAAAAATTTATGAAGCGACTTGTACTTTATAAACCATCCTAATTATGATTAAGTCAATTAACGCAACTTAGTGATATTATAAGTATGTTAATAAATAATAAATAAATGACTTTTTTATATTGTTTCTGTTTTGTGCACCACACCCCTCACAAAAGTATCTGATATTGATAAAGGGCCCTATAAAAACTTTTTTTCACAAGAACAATAGTAGCTAGTACTGAGAACTACTTTACACCCGTTTAAAGTATGTCATTGTAGCACTCTTCTAACTAGTCTTGACGCCTTTGTGATGACTCTAAAGGAATAGGACTTTTAGTCCGTCCTATTCCTTTACGAATAATGTATTGAATGGGAATATGGGAATAATGTATTATTATTATTTGCATAAAATGAATTCGCGGTACTACGGTAGGTAGGCTTAAGGCTTCATTGTTAAAAAATATATTTGTGTAGCTTTTTAGCTATGTTACATGTACACCACCAACGCAATTATAAGTGTTGTCCACCTGAAAACGAAGTCAACAAAAGCTTTGGCAAAGATGATGTAAGGTTATACTCATAGATAGTATAATTTCCATATAGTAATAGCATTGTGCAAATTGACAAATAAACACACCATGAAGAAAATGTCTTTTGGATATCGTTTAAAACCTAAGTTATAAGTAGATAATATAAATTTATAAACCTACCCATTGCTTATAACAATGACATTGATGACTAAGGTTTAGACAGAGGAATGGAAGAATGTATTTATGAGGTTTCGAGTCAACTGAAAACGAATATCAAGTGGTAAAATGGCGCCCATTTAGGAATTTTTAGCATTAGAAATCAATTGTGAGGGGTCATTCGGGGGCGGCGGTGGAGCGGCAGGCTCACCTGGTGGTATCGACTTCCCCAAACTCTTCGGGGTTGACGAGGGGCCTCACGGCGGGCGCCGGCCCGGCCACTTCACCTAGCTGCGGCTCCATGGTGCGGCGCGCGACTGCCGCTTTTGGCCGCCGCCTCCCGAAGTGCCTGTCGATAGCGCCGCGCCGCCCAATGCGCCGGCGTGCGCAACCCTGATTACGTCCCTTAGCGACGCTGTCTCTTGCCCGGCTTTTATTATTGACCAACCAGTTTACATACAAATATTTAGTTAAGATGATCCAAGATGTCATTAAAAAGCAGAGATAATCATTGTATTTCAAACTTACCTAATATGTGTTCAAGTTTCTTTTGTGCCATTTACCCTCTATGCTAAATCCGAATACACATGTAGGGGGTCAGAGTTATTTCATTGATATTTTTATGACTAGGTATGCCGTACAGACCTCGCTGACTAGGAGTTCATTTAAGAAACATCTAACAAAATTGTATCAATAAACCATAATTTTATCGTAGCCTGTGCTTATGCTGTTATATTTAGTGTAGTTGTCGTGTACCTATAGTATTTTTAATGTTTCTTTTTAGTCAATATACAATATAATGTTGACGTATGGAACTCAACTACTACTTTAAGGGCCTTTACGGCTCAGCTCGGGCTGTTTAGTGTTTTGGCAAGTGTAGCTCGGCCTGATTCCTCAATGGGCGCTTTACCCGTGAATAGCGCAAGGGCGTCTCCTGTGAGACTCGAACCTCGGCTTGGGCCTTGGGCCGTCGCGGAGTGATCAGTCGCCTGAAGGGCAGGACGGAAGCTCACTGGACTTTGAGTGAGCGAAGTACGCAGTTAAGTTCCTTGCCTTCCCCGATGAAGGAGGTTTTTAACCCTACTCAGATTTTGATTTTTATTATAATTGGCCGCGCGGGCGGCTTTTAATTTATTGTTAGCTCCGGTAATTAGATCGTCCGGATCCGTCAGTGTGTGTCGGGGCCTCCTACGAGCCTTTTTTGTCGGGAAGGGGTAGTATCGGTCTTATTATTTTAAATATAATAAAACAATAAAAAATGATTGACTGTTTATTTAGTACGTCAGCGCGGGGTCGGTGTAGTGTGTCGCGCGAGGCGCATGCTTGCTGTATGCATTGATGAGCGTCGCGCACTGTTTCGTCTGTTCGAGGGCGAGCGCAACCGTTCTCGTCCTTCTTCAGAGCGCACTGATCCCGAGTGAGGTGATGTCGAGCGATCTGAGCCAGGTGACGCAGACGCTAAGCGAGGAGAATCACGCGGAGGAGTGAGAGGTCCGCGTACTGGTTTTTCGGTGAGATCAAGCCGAAACACAAAACGCAGCTCAGCCCAGAAGCTCCTTGAGAAGGGCATGGAGGGGTTGCGTGGATGATGCCATGCTGTCCATGCGAGGTCGCAGCATGACACCACTATGCCCAGAAAGCATCCGACTACCAGCACCAGGAACAGGCCGACAAAGTTACGCATCGATAATTCTTCATTTAGAGTTTCATCATTGGGCTGAAACGTTACAACATATGTATCATAAATAAGCGATATGTTTAAATGATGCGAAAGTGAGCATATAAACTAAAAAAACACCTGGCAAGCGCCACCGCCGTGCTTCTCATTCCACCAGCGGTACTTCATCTCGCGGAGAACTCCTGACTCTTGAAGATTAAGCAGAGCCAGGTTCAACGAATGTCGATACGGAGAATCTATAACAATATGTTATGTCTTATGTTTCGTCTTTAAGCCGCTTGTTATCTGAAGTCTTAAAATGGGCAAGTCAAATTCGTACTTTTTTTCATGGCGATCCCGTAGCCCTTGCTGTCTAACTGCTCGCCGACCTATAAGGGTAAATATTACATTTAGATACAACAAAACAACATTTACACATTTAACATCTAAATATCGAGTCTAACAAAGTCGTGTTAGGTACACCACTTTTAACTCAATGTCGGCTGGAGTTCGTTCTCTTTTGCTCTGCTCCGAATAGCAGAATAAGTAATAAAATATTGGAAAGGTTATCGAATAACAATTAATCAATTAATTAATTTTACGAATACAAACAGCGTGTGGTTCCGATCTGGAGGTGAATGAGGAGATGCATAACCAGGCATCTTGATCGAAGACATGTGTTACCTCATCAAAAAAATTTGTATATCAGAAAGTGCTTTAACATGCAGTATCGCAATATTGGCGCTAGAGAGAAGATGCCTAATGTGTAAAACTGACTTTTTCTTTCGCAATGGCAAGCAATAAAAAATAATGTTATTTTATTATTATTACCTTATTACCTTAATGAAATCTTAAATTAAGTTTAACTAAAGTTAACAACACGATATTATAAGACTGTTAGGCGGAACGGAGTTAGCCGGGTCAGCTAGTTTATAAATAAACGCCGAAGGCAAAGGCAGTATTATATATACATACCATGGTGACCTCACAGTTACGCTCAATGGTATACTCGATTGTGGTTGACTCCGCAAAGAAAGCGTAATCCTCTTTTACCACTCTGCAATAAAAATCAGTTATGTTTCTATTTATATATACATAAGAATTACGGCCATCAACGCTTAATAATAATAAAGCTTTATTAGCCATAACAAAATAAAACTAGATATAAGTCACAAGACATTAACTAACACAATACCAAATGAACGGCCTGTTTTAATAAAAAAAAACGTTATTAAGTACAGTAACAGTAAGTGAAATAATAAAATTATATTCATATGAACCCCCATGGATACAAGCCTGTTCCAAGTATTTCCAGATTTTTCTATCTTATACTGTCTCCAGCCGTCTTTTACCCATAGCCGCGCTTTCGTCTGCTCATTACAAGGCTGGCCTCAATCTTGTGCCTCGTGTTAAATAATATAGCGTATTTTTACAATACTATATTTATTTCCTAAAGTTAAGAAATATGTGTGTAAATTTAAAATCACACATTACTTAGCAATTCCAGCTTCGTTGGTCTTCGGGTTGTCCTGGTCCTTTATCTTTTGATACATCCTCTGGTACAGCTCGTTATTAGAATACTGTAGAAAAAATTGATTTACAAAAATTCATGTAATTTATTTTAAAAAAAGTAGACAAATGGAGAATGTAATTGGTTATTGAATTTTAGTATTTAATAAACAAATAAAACAATTATGATATGATGTACTTAGAAAAAAGCGGTTTCAAACGGATCGATTATAAAAAAATCGATCCGTTTGAAACCGCTTTTTTCTATACAGTCATTTGAAATCGTTCTGCTATAAAAATTACATAACTTTTAGAAGAAAGAAAGCTACATCAAAAGTTAAAAGAAAGTCTTACCTCGAAGAAGGTGTAGGTGGAACCACCGGCTTTAGCGCCGTAGGTAATGCCAAGCTCGTTATCAGCCAGATCACGCACATCATGGATGACCTCATTGGACGTCTTAGTGCCGAGTAGCGTGGCCAAGTTGGCCGTATATGAATTGACTATAACCAAAGCGAACACCCACCAAGCGCTTGCCACGGCTCGCGTGCCATATGCTACCGGCGCGACCTCAGAACCCTGCATTAACACTGCGCCCATGTTGAACCATAACGCGTTTCCTAGCGTGAATTGATTCTCAAGTGCGGGTGGTTCCTCTACACATGGATACGGGTTCTGCCACTCGTCAGGGCAGAGCCGTCCCACAGCGTACAGCACCAGGGACGTGCCGAGGTAGGCTAGCACAACGCATAACCACACACCATTTGAAAATGGCAGTAAAAAGGCGAGCATTGCCGGTTCAGGTGCCTTCGGCCGACGGAACATGATGGCAATGCCGAGGTTCATGAACGGCGTCGTGAAGTCTACTGCCTCCTCGCGTTCAGCTGTTATTGTTAGGTCCGTGATCGCGAAATCTATTCCCTGTCGATAGAAGTGATATTAAAAAAAAAAAAATTATAAGAGATTTAACTCGTGTTAGGAATAGGTCATACCGGGTCAGTCATGAGGCGATGCATCATGCCATTCCACTGGCCGTTAGTCTTGTTTCGGGAACCATAGTTACCGTCAGGCTGCTCCACCAGGGTGTAGTTGAATTGCAAGAGCTGAGCCAACCGTTCGATCAGTTCGATGCAAAATCCTACATCACGTAAAATAGATGGTAATTGAATAGTTTATTGACTCTGACGGGAAACTTTAAAACCAAAAGTTTCCATTTCTTTGGTTATTTTATTTAAAAACATATTATATGCCTTGCCAAGTGTTGTTTTCTATTATAATACAATTATTATACGTACTAACCAAATTTTTGCAAATGTATATTTAAAAAAATTACTAAAATTCCATGTTTAAACCGATAATAAAACTAAGTAAATGTTTAAGGAGTACCTTCATAGCGCTCGTTACCCGACAGCCGATCTGCTGATTGTTGCCGCATTATATATGGTTTATTCTGTAATGGACATTAAATACGATATTATACATTTTTAATCACTTCTTTTCGTTTTGTTGTGTTTTTAGAGTTATTTACGTACAACAGTACACTTGACTCATATCCCAGCACGAAAATAGGTAAGACATTGTTTAAATAGTAATTTTGTGTAATAAATCATGTCAATTGTCTAAATAACCAATGCGGTTGAAACTGATATTAGATAAGACAGGAGGTATGACATAGAGAAGATAGTGGATGCACCTCAGCAATTAGGACGACGAAGGTTCGATTAGTCATAGAGTCCGTCGGTGGCGGTGGGGCTGGAGGTCGTGGACGCCACGTCAGGCCCCCGTGCGCTGACCACGTCGCCGCTGTGCGCAGCTCACCACCTGGGATCAGTTCCGCGGCTAGTAATGAAACATCTCGCCGCGCTCCACCTGCGGCCCAGCGCAGCCCAGCCTCACTGCTTGCGCCTTTCCAACCGCGCGACCTGATATAGTTAAGTAGCGTGTCTGCGTGAAATGCGGCAGAGCCGTGTTCACAATCGCCACGCTCGCCGTCGCTCAGCTTAAGTTCGCGTAGAGCAGTTGCAATGATGCGAGCTGCATCGTAAGCCAACACAAGCGCGGTAGTCGGGGCTGCCGCAATCTGCTCAAGTTCCTCCACGTTGGCCGCTTCGCCGAGTCGCTTCTTGTATTCCTCTTGCCAGACCCGCATCGCCTCAAACACATTTGTTGAGTTCGGTTCAAAGAGCCGCAAAGCGGTAATATTAGCGCCTCCATGGCTGAAATCGTCGAGAGGTAGCGTGTGCAGGTCAAGTGCAGGCAATAGGTATGCGTGACGTTCCGATAATAGCCCAACACGCTGTGCTGCATCTAGCACACGTTTGCTACACTCCGCTTCGCACCATATTATGAACTTATTTGCTCCCCACTTTTTCAAAATCAGCAGCAGATTTCTGAGTGCATCGTCATCTTCCAGCGGCGGTAATTGCCGTGCACGCAGTGTCAGGAGGTCCCGTCGCGTGAGTAGCGGTATTGCTCGGGCACTTCCCTCATGCAACACCACAGCGTCGCGCCAGCCTTTTGCCACACATAGCTCCGCCACAGCCTGAAAATAATGATGGTCGGTAGTGAGCGTTGAAGGTTGCGGGTGCTTTGCAAAGTCGATTTTACGCACCGTTGCAAGAACATCGGGATGCGGGAAGAGGTCGAGTGCAGTGGCAAGTGCGTCGAGGTTGCGATGCGGCGAGGGTGCCGTTAACAGCAACAACACACCGGCGCGCACAGCCGCCGCTACACCCTCGTTTCCGCTGACGCCACTGGCCACCGCCTGCGCGCCATCCCTAGCCTGAAAAATATATTATAATATGTATTAAGTATAACAATTTTCATGTCTTGTTACTATTTAAATTAAATGTTTGACCTATAGTCTTATCAAGAAATAACTAAATAATTAACTATAAAAAAATAATATATAACCAAAATAAATAATTAATACCAAACTTCGTAGACACATTTTTTTTAGAAATTCCTGGAAAGTCGAGCTAATTACGATAATTAATATGTAGTGTGAAAAAGGTTGATTTTAATTTTAAAGTAAGTTATCATTCCAGTATAAAGTAGGTTTAATGGGTACCTGTAGGCAAATGTGGGTGGACAACGCAAGGGGCTCGTTTGGTTCCACAGGCGCGAGATTAACATTCTGCTGAATTTCCTCACTGTCGATCTCGGCTTCTGCACGTAGCCCCGCGTCTAAAGCCGCCGCCAGCCGCGCGCCCAGCTCCGGATCGCTCTCTACTACTCCTGTACACAAACAAGACTTTTTTAGTGCACGTACGTGTGAGAACGCTCTGCAACTTCTAAATACGCACCGATTTGCAGCGCCTTCGCTCGGGTAATGGCCAATGCAACCACAATCAAAGCAAGCGTTTGCAGCGGGACCTGCAACGCGTCATCACCGAATCTCATTATACTGTCTTATGTCGCTTGCTAGTCTGCCCCGCACTTCAGGCGCACGCGAAATATAGAACACGTGCGTGTCGACAGCGTCGTATTATTTTTAGACGACTCGAAAGACGCTGAATGGAATTCATAATCCATTGCAGACAGTAAAAATTGAATTTTCAACACAATATTTTATTAGTGTTCAGATTTCATGTTGAACATCAAGCAACTGTTGACATGGATCATGTGTGTTTGAAATCTTAGCTGAAGAGCAATTTCAATTATATTTTGTTTTAATATTGATCATGTGCTCAAATCTTAAAAGAAACAACACGGCTCAAAAAAAAAAAAAAAAAAAGGGGGGAATAGGTGTAATTAGTATTTAAGATAATGTTTTTGAATAATAAATTAGATTTGAATATTGCACTGTCTTATTCATTTCTCGCTTCCTCTCAAAGTGGCAGACTACTCCAAGCCCTTAATTATCGTGGTGAGCCTGCCCGGTAGCTTCGAGATAATCCCACCACCTTTGATCCTACCCATAGGGCTCTGTTACCTTAGGTCTCTTGGTGCAGATATCCCGTACTTATTTATATATCTATATATTCACTATTTATGTTGTTAGGTTCTTACGTCTCACCCTCTCATATATTTAGTCATCTAGTGCAGCTTGCTCATACATACATTACATATACATACTATACAGATACTCCTTACATTTAATACATATAAATTTTAAACACACATTTCACAGTCCACTGACTAGCAAGCTGTACAATTAGTAATCATAAGAAATAAATATACAGTATTTACAATTTTCTAAACCAACATAGTAATAATAAAAATAATTAAAAATTAATAAAAAGAAAATTCAAACAAAATTGAAACGGTTTGCTCCCTGTGGCAGTGTGTGGCTGCCTGCACTGCGGCCGCCGCAGCTTTTAATAAAAGAATCCTTGGCGATATATATATATAACTCTTTTGTTTGCCACGATCGTCCCCTAATCCGATTATGGGAGTTTGTGTATGTAAATGTAAATGACCATAGCTACAATATGATTAGTTATTAAGATACAGAGACACAATAGGTAGCTAATTGTTTACGCTTAGTTCGTATTAAGAGTTCCCATTTACAGGTTCTGTTATTGTCTCAACGACACTGAGGTCTCATATTTTAGACGTTAAAATTTAAATAAATATTATTTTTATTTAATAAATTACTGAAATACAGCATATAAAGTTGGCGCCAGTCCCATCTACTGGACTTATTCTAGTATAGTGTAGGATGCATTACAACTAGTTAAACCGCCAATTTTATTATTATTAGGATGTCGTATTATTATGTGGTCCATGTGCAGTTAAATTACTCAAAATTGGATTTTATTATTATTTTCAGTATAAAAACACATTACTAGGTAGTAGTTATGTCGAATACATGTTGATTTATGAAGCCAAAAGTATCTGCTTAAGAATAGTTCACGTAACGTACTTAAGGATTTTGATAATTGATTAAAATATGTAGCCATTCTAGGAATATAACTAAAGACAATACTTTAAATTTCATTGATAATACTAAAGACAATTAAAGAAGACAGCCGATCGGACGCTCGTTACTTTTGCTTGACTTACCTACCGCTTAAAAATTCCTTATCTTTAATAGACGAAGTCTAGTTATAAATTAAATAAACGTTAAATTAAAATCGAGGAAATGAATGAAAAATTTAATTTTTAAATGATTCTAAACACGAACGTGAAAGTCGTATTTAAAATAGTGCCATCTATGTCTACCCGCTGGAGTTGTCTAACCATCTCGTTTGTTTGGTAGCAGTAAAACTATGTCATATCCCTTGGGTATAACTGTAAAATTCTGTGGATTGTTATTAACAATATCAGCATTACTATCCGCTAGATGTCATATATTTTATTGTTCTTGTGACATGTTAAATAGAGGACACTATAGTACCTATGTAAGGTATCATCGCATCAATATTACCGAATGTGGGTTTAGAAGGAAAATGCATGACGTATTTGTTTTGAAAAAAAATAACAAATCGCTTTATATAAAATTTTAACAATCCACTTCATTTCTCTAGCACCAATTCATCAGATCTGAATACCCTGAAGGAGATAAAAAGAATTGTTCCAATATGGTTCATAGCCCAATGAAGCCAAAACGTACCATTGAGCGGTCGTCTGCTGCAAGAAAAGGCTAATCATTTTATTAAGAGACTATATGAAAAATTTATTCTGAGTGTTCGAAAAGCTGGAAAAGCCGATATTGTGGTAGTCAGAGTTTTTTCAGAAGCCGCTAGTGAAATACCACATACGACACAAGATGAGGAAAATGTGGAGGAAGGATTATATTGTTTATTTGGTGATGGAAAGGATGTTATAGATAAAGAAGTAATGAAAATATAATACACCTACATAGAATACAGCGTACACCAGCACAACAAAATAAATTGAAACAAACTAATATTTCACAATTTTTTAAATGTTCCAGTGAATAATTATGTGTGCAAATGATTTCAATAATAAATTAATTTAAACTATACACCTGTACGTGTCTTTATCGTTATCTTTTGCCTGTTACGACTTCCGAATAAATAAATAAAATAAAACAGTGGCGCTACTACCTCTTTAGGTCTTAGCCTCAGATTTCTGAATCTGTTTCATGATCATTTTTAAATGTAATAGGCAAGTAGGTGATCAGCCTCCTGTGCCTGACACACGCCGTCGACTTTTTGGGTCTAACACATGTCGGTTTCCTCAAGATGTTTTCCTTCACCGTTCGAGCAAATGTTAAATGCGCACATAGAAAGAAAGTCCATTGGTGCACAGCCGGAGATCGAACCTACAACCTCAGGTATGAGAGTCGCACGCTGAAGCCACTAGGCCATCACTGCTCAACGACTTCCGCATATAACGACGAAATCGGTTCCTTTATCATCGTTTAAATACGCGAAATCCACTTTATGTTATTGCAAGTACAATATTATATAATAACAGTCATTTACAAGTCCGTTAGACGTGTTAACAGGACTATACAACTTTATTCATACGGGTAAAGTGTTATATAAGAAACGCCTTGCCTTATTTCTACCTTTATGAGGTGAGTAAAGAATTACGCAGAAGCAGTAAATTGTACCAAAGCATTTACCTAATATCTGCTTATAGCTACTAGGCTTTCTACGCGATTTCTTGTGTAAACAATTGTTAATTAGTCTTTTATTACTTCGACCTGTATCACGCTATTGATATTTGCATAATCAATTCAGATATTATTTCTAACGCACTAACAAACACAATTGATGTACTGAAATTATAATTGTACTAGCTGACCCGGCAAACAGTTGTTTTGCCATATGTACCTATAATATTTCTAGGAAACATTTTTTAGTTCAATAAAAATAGGGGTTAATCGTAGAGGGGAAAATTTAGGGTTGTATGTATTTTTTAATGGCACATTATAAAAAAAAAAAAAAATTTCGTCCAAAAAATAAAAAAAAGGTTAGGGGTGGACAACCCTTATCATTTAAAAAAATAGATAGTAGCCGATTCTCAGACCTACTGAATATGCATATAAAACTTTAACTTTACTAACATTGTGACATGAGAATTTTATGTATAAGATAATATATTTTTGTAGTTATGCAAGTGTTTTAAAAAGTTATTTTTTTATACAGATATGTTATTTATATAATTATTTACATACAAATAAAATATTAAGAATATTATTGTGGCTGTTCTGCGAAATTTATAATCTATTCCGGAAATCAAACCAAAAACTCGTCTTGGACGATTTCGCTTTTCTCGGCGACATAGGTCTCGGCTAAACGGCGAAATGAGAATGAATACCACTTTCTTGTAATTCATATAATTTGTATGTACACTGTTTACACGTCGAGTTATACTTAGGAGTTGTAAATGAGGATATGCAGAAAATACGCATTTTCAAATTAAGTTTGTTTGTGTTAGCACTTGTTTGTTGCGTTGAACAATGGGAGTCAAGTAAGTATTTTAGCTTCGATAACTAATCTTATATAAATTAACTAAAGAAAATTCTTGGCTATATATTTCTTTTATTAACCTCAACAATGGTAACACCATACTGTTATGACATCTACTGTTAATACGGCAACGTCTTGTTTCGTTATTAGTTTTTTATATGTTTCGTTATTATATCAATTTTCCAGATATTACTATATTACAGTTATAGTATATTTACTATATTACATCGTCTGCGTATACTGTAATACTTAGATCCGGATATTAGTGTATAACCCGAATTACTTGAGTTTGATTCCCGGCTAAATAATATTATACGCACGTTTGGTAAACTATATACATATAATATAAAATATAAGTAAAAAGAAAAAAGACATATATATATAGCCATGTATAATCAAAGTTTTTATTTATATAAGATAATAGCGAAACATGCGATCCGGGCAGATCCATGGCCGAGAAGCTAAACAGGAGAGTCTACTCTCCCTAAACTCTCCCGAAATATCCTTTTGATAATTATAAATTAAGTAATAGGAGAGACGGAGCCCGCTGGGCGGTAGTACCCGCAGCACCTTTTGTGCTGCCTATATGTCCCTTGTGCTCAGAGTCACACATAGGCAGAATTTTTCCAGCTGCGATCTGTGCTCGAGTATTTCATACAACAGCGTCAGGGCACACCTGGTTCTGGCGATAGTCGCACAGTCAACAAGTAAATGACCACCACCGTTTGATCGGTTCTTTCGTCACAGCCGAACGCAGGCCTTGTTTTCAGTTTGATTCTGTGTAAATTGTATCCAAAAGCCCCGCGGCCGGTCAGGATCTGCGCCTTGTGGGGTGCAAAGTGTCTTTTGTGTGTTTGTATACCGCATTCTTTGAAAAACATATTTGTTGTGGCTGTTTCGCCCCCCCCCCCCCCCCCCCCCCCCCCCCCCCCCCCGCCCCCCCCCCTGCCCCCCCCCCCCGGGGGTTCCCCCCCGGGGGCCCCCCCGGAAACAGGCGGAAGCAGTCATCTTTAATTCGCATTCTAAAACAATAACTACATAGCGCTCCACCTTTCCAGGTGTAAAAATAAAAAAACCCCTTCTCCTTTTTTTTTTTTTGGGGGGAGGGGGGGGGGGGGGGGGGGGGGGGGGGGGGGGGGGGGAAAAAAGAAAAAAAAAAGATCTTGAGTCTTATAGTCAAATAGTTATTGATAAGGTAAGATCAATTATTTTTATCTGTCAGAGGAGCTAAAATTTATATAATTTTCTTACATTTTCATTGTTCAATGTTATACCCATATCAACATAAGGCCGTGTTTAGGCTCTAGAATAATAATTTCATCAGGCAAACTCGGCCACGGCGGCTTATCTTTTGAGACTTGCTTTGTACGAAGGAACTCTATAAAAGCGCGACTATTTGCTTAGGTACACAAGATTCTCTTCCCTCCCTCTAGACCTCATGATGCGAGAGCAGGAATAGGACAGACAGCTTTACGTACTCACCCGAGGAACGGGATTGGCTATATAAATATTTCTATTGAAAATGTATTCCATGCCTAAAAAGGTTTAAGAAAAAATTATTTTATTGAATTTATTCCAATTGGATATTTCTTTTGCAGGCTTATAATTTTGCTGGGCTTGCTTATTGGAGTTCTATACTGTATACATATACTTGTTAAGGACTACCAGGCCATCACTGCTGCAAAAGTTTTCCGTCTGATTTTCAAGCGAGATTTGACTTCACCAAGCTCATATGTAAGGTTTTTAACTGTTCAAAAGTTTTTACGTGTTGCGTAAATCAGTGTGCAATACATGATTAATTTACATAAAACCTATTATATACATAAAGGTCAATTTAATACAATATTTACATAACTAGATGTTTCCAGTATTCTACAGCATTAGGGCATTCCTAACTAACAACAACTGTGTATACAATAATATACAACAATAATTCAAAAAATTCGCGTTTATATCCGTTGAGGAAATTTAATTTAAATATATTCTACTCGCGTAAACTAAATATTATGTAATAGTATCAATGCTTTTTATCGATAACCGGACCCGACAGACGTTGTCCTGTCTTAACTATAAATATTGATTTCGAATTGGCATAACTAACTAAAAAAATATTTCAGATACAAATAGTTTATTATTCTAATGCTTTATGATATACAACATTCTTTGTTTGTTTTTCTGGCGCGTATATGTTTTGTTGGTATTCCGACACGGGAACAGGCGACATCTACACAGGCGACATTACAGGCCATGTGAAAAACATGGATTTTCAAGATTAATAATGCCACAAACAATTAGCGACTGTAATTATTTTGTCATTTGTTTATGTACGAAGATTTGTGAGAACTAAATAAAGATTATTATCTCAGTATTATTTTATATGTATTTTATCCATATAATAACTCCTATCGAAGCATTTCTTTTAAACGATTTTTCTTACATTAAATTTGACGATATTTGCAGCACGCATTCTGTCAATGTTATGTCAAACACCATAAGGTTACATCAAAAAAGTATGAATTTCAAAAGCGCTATGCACTGAAAAGAAAAATTTGCTATCATAACAAAAGTCAGGGTTACTTAATATGGTAGTTATGTATTCTTAAATTTTCTTATTTTTTCTTTCATAAGAACCTTCTCCTGACAATAACAAACACAACAAAAAAATAATTAGCGAAATCGGTCCAGCTGTTCACGCGTGATGCCGTGACCAACAGAAATAGGGATTCATTTTTATATATTATACAGACACAGATACAGATTTTGAAGTGCGCGGAAAAAGTATGTGACAGCTGCAAGCAACTATGTATAATTGTGTATCTAAAAAATTGTGCGACACAGCTAATGAAAAGAAATAGAAATATAATTCCCTATTAGTTAATTATCATTATAATTGGTATCAATTCAAGGTGCATAATTTTATCAATTTCTTGTAAAAATACATGCCACGCTATCGACTCAACTAAACTATTAGGTGGGTCGCTGTTCAAGTAATTTTTGGGAGATCCATTTGATGTTTTACTTACCTTTTTCTGTAACTGTCATTTAATCACACAAGTAAGGTTGTACTCAAATAAAAATAGAACAATATTCATATTTCTAAGTACCTACGATTTAATAGATAGTGCTTATAAGTCCAAATAATCTTTTATATCAATGTCTCCAGACTTCGTATTGAAATCGGTCTAAGTATATAATATTATTAATAAAAATATGAAAGATCTTTTAGAGAAAACATTCTATTTCAATTTCTTTAATAAACCCCTGCAAAGACTAGTTGCAGTAGTTTTCCTCGTTATCACAATTACGCAATATTATTGCTGTATAAATTCCACTATACTTAAGAATATTTTTTTTACAGAAAGCTCATGTGCGTTGGGGGAAAATTCTACAATACGACACAATACAATGCACACGGTACTTGTTCTGTGACCTCGGGGCCAGTGAAATAAAAACCCATTTGAGAGAGGATTTCATCTACATGCTTGCGTAAGCTTTCTGTAATAACTTTATAGCGGGTTGCGCAACCTTCATTTCCCTAAGATGCCACCGACTTTTATACATTTCATATCAGCATAAGGTATGATAACATCGTTAATAAATAGTGATAATGCGATATATTCTTCTTGGAAAGAAAAAAGCCTCGTCATAATGTAGAATGATAATAATCAAAATCAATGTCTTTTGTTTTATTTAAATATAATTCAATTGTTTCCTTCGAGTCGAGAATCGGAACGTGTTTAAAAAAATGTTTATCTATTGAAGTTCACGCGGTAATAAAATATATCTACTTTTTACTGGTAACTCAAAACTTGTGAGCATTTTAGCATTGATGGTTCTTCTCTATATTCGCCCAATATCGGTCTGACCTGATGATTAAATATAAATGTTGAAAATATTGTCTTGGCGGATTGTCGCGTTGCTGTTTGTTTTATAGCAGAAGAAAAGATTTCTAAAGGAAGTGGCCATAATATTATACACAATCCCGTCTGGTTTATTTCTGCGGTGAGAATTACACAAAGCTTGTTTGTTACAAGTTCGTAACCGATTCTTAGCTCGTTTTTCTCTGTTTTGTCTGGAAAGCCAAAAGGAAATGATCGAATACCTTAACCATGGAACATTACGGGGACTGTGTACGCAGAACAAATAACAAAGTTGCGTGACCAAATACGCTAGCAACGGCATGGCAAAGTCACCAAAGTTGTTTGTATCACCAAGATATCCCCCTGTGGACAAGACTGGAGTTGCGATGGATGCCATTCAAGAAGTTGCCTTCGAATTGATGGAACATCCTCCATATTCACCGGATCTAGCTTCTAGTGATTTCTACCTATTTCTGCGGTTAAGGGAACGTCTCAGGGCCCATAAATTATAAATGATGACTTTATAATATTTTTTAAAGAGATTTAGAAATAAGACATACAAACAGTATAAACCTGAAAGGTGAATAATTGCGTCATACTGATTATCTATTCAATTAATAGTTAAATAAGTTCAATATACTTAAGTATTTTGAACTTTAATTGAACACAGTTATGTCGGATCCCTCGATAAGTAATAGTAAAATAATACAGACTATTTAACTAAAAACGAGCCAATAATAATATAGTAAAAATACTTTCTAGGCTTATATCATAAAGTGGGCTGGGTCACTTATTCTAACCATTTTAAACATTAAGTTTGGTTTTTCGTGAAATATATGCAAACTTTTAAACCGCCTAGTCAGCTCCTATCTACTTGAATTAATTATTCTAAATATCGGTACTGCGTTTTAAATCCACCATAAGATTTTATTAAAACACGGATTTCAAAAATAAGTCTTAAATATCGAATATTAGTTACTAAGGTAACATTGCTTAGATTTAACATTATGTCTAGTGTAATAAAGACTTTACGTTGTTATTCATAGGTAGAGTAATTATACCAAATTTCATTATTAAGTGTGTAGAAAGACCGTGTGACAGGAAATGATGGGTAATAAACAAACTCAAAATTGCTTTTTAATATTAAGTGATAATCCACTGGCTAAGGGTTGTAGTACTCTATAAGGTTTTGCCTCAGATTCCTCTGTTTCTTTATAATTGATAGAACGCGGCATCTTTATCTGTCTGAAATATTTACGTTGGAGATGTTTGCGTCTAAGTACTAAGACATGATGGCTTTCTCATTATGTCTCGTTGCACCGTACGAAAAAATTCATTATAAAAGAAAAATCTATTGCTACACCGGGGTTTACAATTACAAAATTAGCATACTCTACTTATGTATTATACCTAAGGTCTAGAAATTATATCTTAAACGTAAAGTTAATTATGTTTCAGGTCGATATTGTTACAAAGACATTCAAAAGTTTGACGCAGGCACATTATATTTAACAACATAGGTGGTCTACTAAAATGACCGAAGTTTAAATAGACTCATCAGCCTTAATTAGTTTATAAATGTTAATCTCATAATAGTACTTGGTACTGCCTTCATCTTTAAACAAGAAGACGGCAACATGACCGTTTATTGTTATGAAAATATGAATACGGAATTATCTTTGAAGACGTATTTTGTTAAAGTACCAATGGTTGCGATTCGGGTAATGTTGAATGGGGTATTTGAAAATTGATAGAGAAACTTTTTACTAACCTTTTATTAATGTACACGTATATATGTACTACCTATAAATGTAAGTATTATTTGGTTTAGACATTCTCTGCTACAAACATCTAATGACGTCACTATAGTTTGATTAAAGTCTCTTCATAGCTTTAGTCATTTGAATGACATAATATAATAATGGCATATGATGGTGTAGCAACCAATACGCGGTTTGTGCAGTGGTTTCCTTTATATAAAAAGCTACGTGCTCTGCCACGTATTTTTTACGTGATCGTTGTTCACGCTCGATGTTAAACATATAAAATCGCGTCTGGCACATAGTTAGCAACGTGAAAAATGTCTGGCAATAAAAAAAGTATGTCAGGTAGACGTATTTAAAAAGGAAAAATCAAAAATTACGCTTCTTAAAATGCTTTTAAAATCCAGGATTATTACCTGGACAGATAGGATGCGCACTAATGAACGCAACCGCTACCGCCAGCCAGATTGCCCAGACTCTAACCGGAAGTGCAAGAAGGAAGACATATCACAAAATCAGCTGACCTAAAATTCTTTTTTTTCAAACGTTGCTACCTCCCGTACTAATAAGACAAATACAATCTGAAAATGTAAGTTACTTAGATAATACAATGTTGTTTGAACAGTGTATTTAGCAACAATTTCTGGTATCACCGGTATCTACCTGTGCAAAAGTACTTACTTACTAAACAGGAATGCGTTTTTTTTTTAATTTAGGTTATTTATGTGTTTCCATTCTTTTAACGTGTATGAATTAGTAGTAGTGTAAGAATTTTGTGTAGTAGTGTGAAGTTTTGTCTGTTCTTTTCAGACTTGAGGCAAGAGAGGAAGATGTCACTGCTTTAGAAGTATTCAAAAACGCATATAACTATGGAAAATCCTCGCGAAAAGAGATCAACGATCCTTGCAGAGCAAAATATTCAGCTTGTCCATTCAAGGTCAACTTATTGTACGAATTCATTCAATATTTACTAAGGATTAGTTAGAACTAAAAAATGTAAATGTAAATTCGTAGTTAATTTTAGCTTTGAAATGCTTTTTTCAACCAAATTTGATATGTAATTTAATATTGGTTTAAAGACAGCTTGCGAATTTCTTGCGTCTTTTTTGCAAACTACGAAATTACTTAATTCAAAGTAAAGTAAAGATTTTTTTAAATAAAATGACAGTAGTGTAGTGTCATCTAAAAAAGCAGGCGAGAAATTTTTCGATTTGTAACATTCAATTCAATTTACACATTAAGTCATAAATCCTGTAAAGCCATTATTTGTTGTAAATAAATACTAGTTACTTGGCTAAATTTAAATATCCGAACAAAATACATATAGTAAATAAACAATTTTTATTCTTGTACTAGACCCCTCAACAATATTGTTTTATTCGAAAAGTTAATATTAAGAGGAAATTATGTAACAAAATTATTATGAGATCGTAAATAAGTTCATATTAAGCATGATAATAGTACCTACACCGATAAAAGATTTTACAGCGCTTTAAATTTTTATCACTGACTTTTCACGTTCAGTGCAAAAAACAAAATAAATCGATTTTTTATTACTTCATGAAATATGTACCCCCCGATGCTTAACTATGTATCATTTCACGTAATAAGATTGTGCTTTATTATTATTGGAACTTAAGAAATATAATAGTTGTGTTAATTTATTTCCTTATTCGTTTTTGTATTGTTCTGGCAGCCCATTCTCAATAAATTTAAATTATAGATTTTCGTTTTAAATTTCCAATGTTTCTTCTGTTAGACATGAGTCTTACAATATTTACACTACACTACACTAGCGTACCTGCAGATATTTTTCTAGGTGAAGTTACGAAGGAATTGCGAATCGGTAACCCGATATCATGGTGTGGCTGGGTCCCTGACCCAGCTCCGGTCGAAGTTTACACTTCAAAGTCGACCGTAAAAAGTTAAAATATAAAATTTTTATAACAGTTTATTTTCATAAATTATCAGTAAAACTAGTCTGGAACAAATAAAGTGTAAAATTGTTTGAATAAATATACAATTTAAAAATACTTTGATGTAATCGTTGGCGTGTGAAGTTGGGGATGGTGTTGGTGGGAATTGCTGATGAAGTGAGGTCAGTCTAGAAAAAGCCAACAAAGCATCTGCTGTGTTATGTAATGGAACACTAGTGTAAGCGGAACCCCGGCCAGTCTGAGTCATCCTCGTCCTAATCGTCCACCCTGGGCCCTGCTGCAGCTAAAACCGTATCATTCGTATAATGTCATCTCGGTCCCTTTTCGTATTTGTGCTATTCATACACGGTAAATACATAGATGTAGGTCAGAGGGTGAGTAAAGTGTACTTACGAGATTCATTTAAAAGGTTTTTCTTGGTAAAATTAAATTCATATGAATATCGCGTCTCCATAAATTATTTACACAAAGGAAATGTTATCTTCATTATTTTAAGGCAAGATAGCGTTTCCGATTTTACCTTTTTTTAGGTATAATACGGACTCCTGTCACGTTATGGTAAATTCATTGTGCCTATAAGAATATATTTGCTATGTATCTTTAATATTTATCAGATTTGTGGACCGTTGTTCGTATACAATAGTCGGCTATGCTATTAAACTAATTCTACAACCATGGCGTTTGCCTCAGATTTCTAAATTTGTTTTACTGGTAATTATTTGGCAAATAGCTCTCGTATCTTCTGGCAAGGTCTTGTCTGCAGTTCCTGGCATACGTCGACGATAGTACAAACAAGTTTTAATTGCATACATCTAGATATAAACACTGTTTCAATTTCGGAGAATTTCTGTAATAAAGTCAAGCGATATAAATTGTGTGTGTTGATCCATAATCTTGTATGCCGTATATCGTTCATCATTTTTGAACTGGGATACTTTATGTTCTTGTGAACCCGGTGTAAGGAAATCATTATACCATTAGGTACATAAAAAATTCAGTGGCACTACAACCTCTTTAGGTCTGGGCCTCAGACTGGGTCGTCGACTTTTTGAGTCTAAGACATGTCGGTATCCTCACGATGTTTTCCTTCACCGTTCGAGCGAATGTTAAATGCGCACATAGAAAGTCCATTGGCGCACAGCCGGGGGTCGAACCTATGACCTCAGGGATGAGAGTCGCATGCTGAAGCCACTGGGCCAACACTGCTCTATACCATTACATAACATATGGTAATTAAGGTATACACTGAAGAAATGATACTTCAGCGGGCGTGACAGGTCACGTTATTCTTAATGTTTTTATTTATAGAACGGGGGCAAACGGGCAGGAGGCTCACCTGATGTTAGTAACGCCCCTGGACACTCTCAATGCCAGAGGGCTCGGGTTTGCCGGCCTTTTAAAATTGTAGCTCTTTTCTTAAGACCCTAATCGAATTGTTCGGGAATACTTCATGGGCAGCTGTTCCATTGCAAATATTTCAAGAAATAATTTAAATTCTAGTTCTATTCTTGTGAAAATATATTTATTTACATTTCATAGAAGAAGTGTCATCTTAATGAGAACAAATATACGTAATCTACTTTGCATCTGTTTCACTAAATAACTTATTCTTAATGTTTTTATTTATAGTTAAAAATATGCTTAAATAATAAAACTATATTGTCTACAAATGAGCTTTAATATTATTATTATATCTTCAATAATAAAATCAATACAAATATAGGTGCTCGGAAAATAAATGGAATTTAAATAAAATAAAATAAAAATCTGTTTATACGTATACATTTTAAGTACATATGCATTACAATGTGTAAGATCTAATATTTTGATATGGGTAATAAATGTGATAAATCTTTTATTATGATATGGGTATTCTAATATCATCAAATTTTTTTTTAAATTTTTAATCCATCTGCAATCAACCTCATGGCTTTTATCAGATTTTATAAGAAATAATGGCAATTAGGGAACGCAAACCCAATTTTTTTTTAACCCCTTCGTATTTCTGTCTTCGTATTCAAACTGTCGGTCTGCGGCAAGTTTTGCCCTTTTCAGCCGATACACACTGTCCGTCGTTTCCATCAAATTTAATGCAAATATTTCCAAGAAGATAATTTAAAATTCCAGTTCTAGTTCTTGTGAAAATATATTTATTTACATTTCATAGAAGAAGTGTGCATGCTTAATGAGAACAAATATACGTAATCTACTTTGCATCTGTTTCACTATAAATATCAATGTTATTTTCTTTAAGGCGCTAAGAATGCTGCGCTTTGTTTAGAAGTTTCTCGTTTAAGAAATATGCTTATCAAAGTCAATACTAACCATGTGTAATATGTAGTTGAAGAATCATTCGGAAATAATTGTATTTGGTTACATCTTATAAGTAACATAAAGTTTTAACAAACAAACATAGTATATGAGCCTAAGACAAGTAGCAGAATGTGAAAATATAATGACTTTCGAGAAAACCTTATAGACTTAAGTATTTTAAACAGAACCGCTTCAAAGAGTATAAAATCAAAAACATATTTCGGTTTCATCTTATATAAGAAGGTTTAGGTTACTAAGGCACCGCAAGGTAGATATGAAAAAACGTAGCCTTTAGTGTGGAAAAGGGGCGAGAATGTAAAACAAAAGACGAAACGATGACGCGTTTCATTTGACTGTATTAACATATCTCCGTATCTCTAGTCCATTCTACTTCTACTGTTCTTTTGGTGAGGTGGAATGGAGAGACCATTACTGGAGATTGGCCATCAGTTTGGTGACGCAAGTTTGTCCTGTGCCAGATGCAGCAACACTTCCGCAGTCGCAATACCCGCCCACTCTCCTACTTTACGAAGCCATTATTTTTTCCTTCTACCAACACGCTGTTTACCCTGGATTTTACACATTGTAAACAATTGAAGGAGGTGGTAGCGGTCATGGCACAACACGTGGCCCAGGTACGCTAATCTAGTCCAATCACAGACACGAAATGGTCATAGGGTATCACAATCAAAGAAACTTTACTTCATACATTTAAATCACGATCTTAACCTACATATAAATACCAAACAAATTGATATGTAGAAACTCTTAGCAACCCTGGAATTGGCAACTACGTTAATAATGTTTAGTATTTCACAGTTAATTTCTATTAACTTAAATTAGAATTACATTACCATGACCCCACAATGGGGTTTTGGCGGAAACAAGACAGACACCCTGACTTTTAAAGAAAAGAAGATCAGAATTAATTTATTATTAATAATTACATTTATTTATATTAATTACGTCTCAACGTCACGTTAAGAACAATTAATTTTATCAGGACTTATCCCGGCTGACTATGAATCCTTGCAATTCTGACAAATCGAGCAAACGCTTATTCCCCGTATTAGACGGGTTTCAATCTCATTAGCGTAAATTAAACTCATGATATGGGCAATTAATCTCTTCTAAAATATATGGTACATTTTAAATTAAGTAATGTATTTCTGTTTTAGATGGTTTAAAGCAGGACTTGAACCATATTAAGAGCCAATATTCTGAGTCAAATTTTGACTTTGACTTTGAAGTAGGTTTTAATTAAATGTTAAATTGATGTTGTTTATTGGAAAAGTAGTTTCAAGTGATGAAGTGGTTAAGTAGACTGCCGTCTCATAAACAAGCAAGTGTTGTGGATAAAATATCAAATAAAAAGGGATATACACAGCGATAGAGGGTTGCGAATTAACGGACCCATCCAACAACAAACAACAACTTTAAGTTTAGTCGGTTTGAATTTTTTCAGAATTTGTCATTTGTCAAGAGCTGTATTGACAGAGTTTGCGATTAATGACTTTACTTGGACCCACTTACAATTAATAAGTACGTATTTTTATTTTTCTATTAAGTAAGTAGCCTTAATTTTTGAGGAAAACGAGGGCAGTTTACTCAATGTTTTTGCCATTAGTTTTATCGACTCTTTGGCAAACTAAATTTTACTTTTTTGCACACGTTTGTTTCGTATGATGTTAGAGTAGTGGTTAGTTGTTGACACTTAGCTTAATGGTTAAGGGTG